AATAACCTTGCCTGTGAATTAACTAAAATAATTAACAAAAATAACCTTGCCCGTGAATTAACTAAACTAACCTTGTCTATGAATTAACTAAAATAACCTTGTCTATGAATTAACTAAAATAACCTTGTCGTGAATTAACTAAACTAACCTTGTTTATGAATTAACTAAAATAACCTTGTCTATGATTAACTGAAATACCCTTGTCTATGAACTAACTAAATAACCTTGTCTATGAATTAACTAAATTAACCTTATCTATGAATTACCTAAAATAACCTTATCTGTGAACTAAGTTTCTATAGAGTGAGTTAATTGGAACCGTTTATTATTTATACTCATGTAATAAATAAGATATTAAACCAAATAACTTTGGACGTTGAACTAATTTTTTTCTTTAATTACTAGTCAATTTACGTCAATTTAATTTGACTTTACTAAATCACATCAGTAATGTTTAACGTCATAGTTTCTATATTTATAAATTTTTTGTTGGGTATTTAGTATTTAATGTTGTAAATGAAAGATTCTGTGTTGCAACAATCTCTTCTTAACCTTAATCATAACCCTAAGTTAATAACAAAATTACTGTCAAGATATATTTATATAGTGCAGAACACCACCGGCATGATTTAAAGTATTGTTTAGATCTAAGCTGTCAAAAGAATGTACGTTTTTTATATTTTATATAGCAATATGATCAGTAGTGCTCTGAAACGATAGACTGGGTAGTTGATCTAAAAATCCTGAGGGTTTACTAATTAAATTTTTATCAAAATTTAAATTACAATTAATTTATACTATTCTTTAGTATTTTATAATTTATATGAAACTTTATTTTTACCAAGAATTTAAAATGAATAGTATCTGTTTCGAAACTATTTTTTAATATCAATCAAGTTAGCCTCATTAGAATATTGTTCTGCTGAAACACTAATTACATGATATTCTCTAGTCTTTATTTAATAAGCTTAAATAAAACTTCAAAATTTTAATTATTAATAACATTTTTGCAATTTACTTATAAAAATTTGGACATATATAAAGCGGAAAAATTTTTTAGTTTCAAAAACACATGAAATCTTAAAAAATTTTTAAAAAATTTTAATATAAAAATTTTTAAATAAAAACTAAAAATTTTTAATATATAAAAATTTATTAATATTTTTAAAAATTTATAATAAAGTTAATAAAATATGTTTTCAAGAATATATTTTATAGGAAAGTATTTATTAATATTTTTAAAAATTTATAATAAAGTTAATAAAATATGTTTTCAAAAATATATTTTATAAGAAAGTATACTATATATCATTAATAAATTATTATTATATTTATAAAATATTTAATATAATTTAATTTTCTAAATAAATTTGTCTAAAGTATAGTTTAAGAAATAATATATAAACAAATTATTTTAAGCAAAAAGTATTGTAACTATATTATGATTAATATATATTTGAAGTTAGTTAAAATTAACATTTGAAATTATTTAAATTTTTTTAGTTTTTAAGATGATTTTCTTTAATTTTAATTTTATTAATATATTTGAATAAAAAAATTTATAAATTACTATGAATGAGAATATAATTAGATATTTGTATAACTTTTATATTACCTATTTAAAAAAATCTATCTAAAGATTTTTTACTAATTATTATATATCTAATATCTTATTTGAACATTTATTTTAAACTTTCTGACTATCATATTATAGTACTAACTTTACCAAATTATAAAATTATTTATCTTTTTATGGTTTGTGTTTTTATATTTAATCTTAAGACTATTTTATTCTTAAAATTAGTATATACTATATCTTTTATACAAATATTCTAGCTTTTAATTCTTATAAAGTTTATACATCTTAGTATTTTTTTTATAATTTTATCAATGTCTTGTTCATTTTTACAAATTTTCTTATACAACCAATTCAGCTAGGCATGCATAATGTAACTTCATAACAGATTAACTGGTAATCAGGTTGGTAGTACCTTTTACCTAAAGATTTTTATTTATACAAATTATTTGTCTTGGATTTTTTTTTCAGATTAAAGTCTTCATAAATAATATATATTATTGAAAGTTGTAATATCTCTTCACTTGGGATTTTCAAGCAGACTTTATATTAAAATATATACTTTCTGAATTTATTTGTGTAATATTGTATACTTCTAAATTCATATTGGTACAACCAGAATTACAGGGTTATGACCAAAGTAAAACCAATTTTTCAAACTTCTACCACTAGAAGCTTATTTAAAATTTTATCAAATAATGAATTACTATTATTTCAAAGTTTGTCAAAGAACTTATTAAGTACTTATAAAGTAATTTAGAAATATTTAAAAAATATTTATTAAATATAAGGTATACTAAGTTTTAATTATAAATATTAATTTTAAATACTTATAAAATAAAAAATTAAGTATTTAAATATAAAATATAATACTTAATAAGCAATTATAATTTTGAGCATTTAAAAGTACTAAATTTAAATGCTTAATAAGTAATGTTATTTAGTATTAGTGAATACCGGGGTTATGATTAGCGCAACCTTGGGATGATGTACAACTCCAAACCTAATTGAATCAACTCCTGAAATTGGATAGTCAGGGGAAATTTCGAACATGGTAGGTTTTCTTTTTTATAACAATGAATGACTATCATTTATCATTGGTGAGGGAGCAGCAAGCATACGTATATGCAAGCGTTCAACACCGATGAATCTATCTATGCATGCATAAATCGAGTATTTAATTAGAGGATTACTTTGTACTTGCGTACATCTGTACTCCGTATGTACATTATCATGAAATCTTCGAAACCTATACATTTTATATTGTTATCTAACAGCATTAAAATTTATGTCAAGTGAGTCCTTATTATAACCGATAAAGCGTAATTGAGGCAAAACTAGTGGCATAACATGTCTGTGTCTATGCTTATAGATATCACGCTACGTAATAAGTTAATTAGTAAAAATGTAAGGAAATTTTATTATTATAATATATAATAATAACTATACATGTGTGCCGAAATTGCCCATCTTAATAAAAAAGTAATTACGGCATTTCAGCAGCCGAAATTAATTTTGGTATTTGCCTAAATTATTACCGAAATTTTTTGAACTCTTTTTATCATATAGTATAGTTATTTCAGTGGGTTTCATATAAAAAATTTAGCGATGCTGAAATGTTTGCCGAGAATACTTTTTTTTTAAAAAAAATAATTTCGGCACACATGTATGATAATAACATTTCCCAAAATGTTGTTATAATTAGTCTAATCAATCTTTTATAGAAATTAAACATATGTATAGCGTGAGAAAATACGTAATAAAATCCCTACAATAATAACAATTTTTATGCATTATGTTATTGCATTATTTTAATGTCAAATTACTTAAAACCAATTTATACACAGATAATTTATATAATTTAGATTTTGAATCAAGATTAACGCTATTTAAAGTCATAAGATTAAGTTAGTAACAATCAAACAAAAATAATTATTACTAAATATAATAAAGTATGTCAAAAAATGGGAAAATTATATAAATTAGTCTCCTTGCTCAACACCAAAGATTTAAAGGATTCTATTTTTACTATTTAAACCATGATTATTACAATTATTTCCGATTTGTTTTTATTAATATCAATTTTTAACTATTTAAATAGGTTCTTTCGCAATAACTATAGTTGGTAAACCATAGTAAGAAATTATTTTTAAGAACCAAAATTCGACCAAAAGAAACCAATTTAATTTGAATACTATTAATATATATATAGCTATATTAAAACTTCTTTCTCATTCATTGTGTAAAACAATTGATTTAATTCTTTTGACACACAATAAATCCATATCGATCAAGTCTTGGACAAAAAAGATTTGACACATAACTTTAATTTTAACTTTAGCCATATAAATTATTAATAGTTTATAAAAAATTCCATAAATACCTAAAAAACACAAAACATTTGAACTTAGAAATCATATAAAGTTTCAAAACTAATAATAGTTTGACACAAAGTTTAATTATGTAAACAACTTGACCTTGAATTGTGTTTGATTTCATAAATTTTACTTCGGAAAATCCTATATAATTTTTTTTTATGTTATGTTAAAACAATAGTTTAATATACCTTAAATATTTATAAATATTCGGAGATTTTGAATAATTTTCTTTTTTTCGAACACAAATACATAACTGCATTATGCAATTTGAACTCGAATTATATTTAAGTCTATTTCAAAATTGATTATTCGAAAAAAAAAGAAAATTTTTATTTATTTAAAAAAATTTGATAAAACAGAAATAAAAAAAAGTTATAAATTCATCAATTAATCATATATGTAATGCATCATTAAGAACTAGAGATAAATTTTTTTAAAAAATAACTTAAGTCGAGGTAATTAAAAATTAATTTTTTATTAATAAAAAATAAATTATACCAATGCGTATGTATATGCCCGTACGTATATGTGTAGATTTCAAATATGTACATTATTATAAATTAACTATAAAAGTCAAACTTTTTTATATAATAGCGATAGGTTATGTATATTTTGAAATTGATAAACAGTAAAAAAAGTGTTATCGCATGATCAATCACAGAAACTTCCCAAACACTTTGTGTTATTTTTAAAACTTCTATACAAATTACTATATCGGTAATGATAAACGCCAATCGCCCAAACTGGTTTAAATGTCGTCACACTACATTAACAATGGGTTAATTTGCAGTATCCCGTAAAAAAAATCACAGAACTCATCAAGTTATTTAAACCGAGGCTCACCTTGAAAAGGGTTGGGCTTTAATAAAAATTTTCATAAGGGAAAAAGCCTCAACGGAAAGTACCAATTAAGAGAAGAGTTAAATCTTCGCTTAATTATATTACCTCGTTTTTATTTTTATTGATAAAGATCTAAATGAACTACTACTTCCTGAGCATTTACAGCGGTAAACATATTGGTAACGACGTTGATTGGATTAATAACCATGCAGGATTCTACTCATCAAAGTATAAATTATTATTCGAGATTTACTCCAGAGATACAAATACGTATTTTTGTGAACATTCGCCATCCAAAGAATTTATTGATGGCTAATAAAGCCTGGTACAAGATCTCTAAACAAACTGATGTTAGAGCAGAGTGGGTGATTGTTCAATTTAGCAAAGCACATGCGTTATTTCATTCAATTCGTTTAGGACCGAAGTTTGTTAATGTAGATTTGATTAAGAAAGTTATTGAGATGGGAGGGATATTATCCCGATATTTTGTGCAACGCTTCTTACTTTCCTTCGGATCTTATGATCCGAAATTAATTGAGATGAAAATTGAACATAATGTCGGAAATATAGATAGAGAGCAGATTCGTAGGGTCCAGCAAAAAAGTGCTGCACCTTGGGGGAGCGATACACCACTTGACGTATTTACATATATTTTACTTGAAGCATCCATGAGATTAAACCCTTCAGATAAATCAATTCCTTATACAGATTTTGCTGTCAAAGGAAACGACATGGAATCGTTTCATTTCCAGAGTGGTGGACCATATGCAATTAATCAAGCAAATATGAAACTTAAGGAGAATTTGGATTCGATTAAGCACTTGATCACAGTTTGGAAATTCATTCCTTTTCCGCCTAGACCCAAGAATAGGTACTATGACAGTAAAAACTTGGAAGAATATCCTGCAAAAGATGGATATGAAAACTACAGGCAATTAAATATTATCGCGCGGGCAATTTTAATTCATGAGGAATTGGTGATAACTTGGAAAGAAATTGGTTATCACAACATTGTGGACGATGTAAATGATCTGGTTATTCAAGGAAAATTATTGTTATTATTTCCTCCGACTCCGGCAAAGGGCTATAAAATGCCTGATGTTCAAAAAATAACCGAAGATCTACAAAGCTTGTTGGATTTAGGGTTCAAACCAACAAACACAGTTATTCTTGATATTTTACAACTCTTTGAAAATCGATTAGAAATTATTGGTGAAAGGATAATTTGTTCATTCATTTCAGTTCGTAAAAATGAAAATCTTTATGACTTTTACAAGATGCTTGTTGTAGAAGCCATTAAACCAGATAGAAATCTTAAAAAAATTGAAGTTTTAAATTTTTTGGAAAAAACTTTTCGAGATGAAAGTGGAAAGATTTTCATTAGTGCGATGGGATTAATCGAAGAAAATAGTTCTATTGATAAAATAAAAGATTCAAATCATGTTAATAATACAAATCATGTTAACAATATTAATAATAACAATATTAATAATCAATATGAACAAAATTCTCAACCTGAAAATAACGACCATAATTCCGTAAAATTCAGTGTTCCCTATAAACCCTTATTATATAATTTAATATTTTATAACTGGATTTTGATTAAATTCCCAGAAACTTTATCTATCGCACAATTAGCATTTAATGATATTATAGAGACAAGAATAAGTCTTGAACTTAATCAAAATTCTTCTAAATCATTTGAAATCAAATATATTGAAACGTGCAATATTTTTAAACTTTATTGTAATTTTAAGAATTTCTTTTTAATTTCTCACCTTGAACTCCTTAAGAAAATTTCAAACGAAGATATCCTTTGCCCTTTGTTTGAATTTTATTTACCAGATCTATTTGGTCTTCCAACTACTTTCAATATGCCTATGGAAATAACTGATGATTCAAACATTTATTTTAAACCAAAGAAAAGGAAAAAAAGGACAATTTTAAAGAATGAAAAAGTAAAGTGGCTTACGGCTATTAAAGAAATTCATGATGATATTGTAAATGAAGGTAATTCTATAGTAATGACAGACGAATTTAGGGACTGTATTGAAGATCTTTATTATAAATTGGAAGAAGAAGGAAAGTTTAAAAAAGTAGAAATAAGATCAGAAACTCCTATAAACAATAATACTAAAAAATATAAAGCGGAGAAGAATCAAAAGAAAAAGGATTTTTATGACAAGGATTTATATATACATAACTTGTATGATTTCGAAACATGAAACATATGATATTCTGATATGATTTTAATGAAATCAGGCTGACAACCGAAATCCAAACAGCGAGAGTTTGACGTTCAAGAACTTACTACATCTATTTTAGGTAGTCACCTAGATCATTATGTTTCCAATTAATCGCAACAATGAGAATTTGTATTTACGTCCCATGACTTATTCTTATTACTGTTTGATTTACCAACAAAAACTTCGTTCTTATTGAGATTTACCATTTCGCTTTTGTGAAAATTCACTCCTTTTTCGTTATGAAGTTTCCAGAGCTTTAAACGGGTTGAATTTCGGAAATTCGGGAATCTAAGAGAAAATTGAAGTCATATTTGTTTGTCAGCTTGTCTAAGGAACAATTTTTTCAATTTTTTTTTCTTTCATTTATGCGGTTATATTTTAAAACCTATTTTCATTATATTTAGAACTATTTATTATTTGTTTACGATGGTTGAGTTATTTCATTGAGTATAGTTAAAAGGTAAAATAGAAATAAGTCATAGCTATTTAATATGGGAATTGAAGTGAAGATGGATGGATAAAGGCTAAATGTGGACGGATGTTGAAGAGCTTTTATAGATAAATATATATTACGGCTTTAAATGAAAATCTGCATTCTATTAGTTTATATTATTTATGTAAATAAATGTGTTTCAAATATATTATTTATTATTTGTTTTTATCAGTTTCACATCTAACTGGCAATATATATATATTATTGGTCAATAATCATAGGCTGGCAATTTTTTTTTTATTTTGTAATAATAACAATTCTGTGATAAAGGTTTAAAGTAATCGTATTTAATGTATCTAAAAGTATCCTTTTTACAAAAACATAAATATGAAACATAATTATGGTAAGTTCAAAATACGATATTAAAATCTGTTTATTTTAGTTCAAGAGATGAGCGAAAATTTACTTTAATATTTGTCGTTTTGAAATAACCACCTATTTGAAGTTTCTACAACTCCAAATAGATCGCCACTTCAGATGCAATGATATCTCAATTATGTTTTGTTAAATTAGAGCCAATTATGTATGTGATAGTTTTATGCTCTCAAAAAAATGGCAATTATTTTGTTTATTATAAAATGAATAGTGCATGTTATCTAATTATTGAATTTAAAAATACTATACCAATTTCCAATTAGCTAACACATCTTAAAAATAAGATCTAATGTTTATTATTTCTTACATATTTATACAAGCTTCATTAAGAAAAGCAGCATATTATGTTATTAGAGTTACAAAACACTAATTACTACTAAAGTAAGTTAATCTTTTTAATATGCTGCTGTTTTTTAATTTGAAACATGGTTCAATCAAATATTTAAAGGTTTGATTACCATTTTTCGCACAACAAATATATCTTTAAAATAGTCTTATATTTAATATTATATTTAACATGATATATGAATAAACATAATTTATGGGTAAGTGATAATCTAATAGTATGTCGTAAATGAACTTATTAATATTATTGTAAGGATTAATATTATTGTGAGGTGATTATTGAATATTATTAAAATCTAATAATCGACTAGTGTATATGGCTTTAGGATGGATGGATCGATGTCTGAAAATTATATTCTTAGAATTTAATTGTCTTTTTTCTTCTGCAATTTTAAATTGTAAAGAAATTATTGAAGTACTATTATGAATGATTGTTGTCATCCAATTTCTTAAAATTTTATTTAATTCTGTAACTTTTGGGCGATTGTTTGGAATTTGATCCCAACATCTTTTCATTAGGGTTATATATACTTCTGGAGTACCGTCAATTATTTCTGGTCTAAATCCATTACATATTTTAGTTAAAAGATTAATATCATGAGAAATTTTACTAAAAGGGTGTATACAAGCAGACAATGTCCACATAATAATTCCAAAACTATAAATATCTGAAGCCTGGGTGTAATTATTTCCATCTAATACTTCTGGAGCAACATAAGGCAAAACACCATAAATTTCAGATGCAGTTCTATCTGCTGGTCCATGTAATCCAATGTCAGCAATTCTTGTAATAATAAATCCAGGATTATCTGGATTTTCTTCAAATAACAAATTACCACCATGTAAATTACCATGATATAACTCATTCTCATGAATTTGTTCAAGACCATCTACAATACCCAAAAGAATTTCTATTATATCTCTCCAACAAAGATCTGCCATAGTTTCGTCAAGATATTGATACAAATTTCTTTCATAAAATTTCATAACAAACATATAGCAACCAGTTGGGTCACGTGATACCCCAAAGTAATCTGCCAAAGGCCCGCCTCTAAGACATTTATTATGTTTCATAACCTAAATAAAATATAGAATTTTAAAAATTAATAATTAGTATCGACAACTATGGTTTTGATAAATAAAACTCACATTATCTAGATAATATTGACTTATTTGTTGAGAATTTTCAATCCTTTTCAATACACATCTAGTTGGACCATCTCTAAACCAGTCATCATTTTCCTCAATCCAAGTCCGTCTAGGGCCATCGATCCAAAATCCAGAATAAATAGTACTAAAAGCACCTTGCGATAAATATTTAACAGCTTCAAAATCCTCAAATGGGATCCATTCAAGATAATCCTCATTTTTGTTTACTTCAAGTTGAGTTTGTTGTATTATTCGATCTATACTTATGTTACCACTAGTCCATCTTCCAAATTCTCGTTTGAAAGCTTGATTTTGGCATGTTCTACACCAATGAAAATCACTTAGGGGGTTTTCACATTCATCACATTTACCGTACTGATCTAGTCTAATTATGCTTTTGGCATATATGATCGATGGATCTGGTGAGGATAACATTCCTATTCAGAGATAGTAAGTTTTTTTTTTAGGGAAGGTATAAAAATATGTTTGAGTGTTTTACATAATATGAGAAGGATGCGATGTTACATATCGAGCTGATCAAATCCGTGAGGAAATTTTTTTAAAAACCATTTTATATAAATTTTTTTTTTTACGCCAAACTAATCATGAAAGAATTGTTATTTTTTTCTTCACATAATAGAATGTCATAGTTAAACAATTTGTGATACGGTCCATCATTTAAAAGTACTAACCTCTTCAAAACTAATCATTGCATTCATTACGCCAAATGAACCAATTAAACTAAAATAAAAACATATTCTTGGCTATAAGAATTAGTGCTGACCAATATTTAATCTAGTGTTGGTCAGCATTATAAACATTCTAAATGTATATATTATAATTAAGTGATTATCAGAAAAATTGACACGTTTACGTTTATGTTTTGATAAACCGTTTATAATTCATGTCAACAATATATTAGGGAAGTTGAAATTTGTACAATAATAAATAATTACACATTTTACCATATTACTTTGAAAATATTCGATGTCACGAAATTTCCTATTAAATAAGTGATTCCGAATTTTCTTATTACATTCACCTTCGTGTTTTTACAAGGAAATATTTTCTTATTATGTAGACATAAACTTGATCTGGTTTTTTTATAACATGCAAAATTGGTATAATTAACATACTTTAATTGGCATTAATTAGTATAATAGGTATAATCAATATGATTAGTATAATCAGTTCTTTAATCATTAGGTATCCGTATCTTTGCATCTATTTTTTTTTTATTAAAAATTTAAAAGATCAGCGATTATCTGCAAAGAACAAAACTGGAATTGATCAACAATAACTCTCTCTTTCATCTATTCCATAAAGGGTTGATTGAATAAAAGATCTTCCAGGATCAATTTAACGTCAGTGATTAAACAGTTACGGAGTAAACACTATCATTGTCTTGATTAGGTCAGAATGAAAGAATTCTATGTAACACAGTGTTTCCAGTTATGGTAACCGTAAATTTGGGTTTATAACGAACAAAATTTTATGTAACACTAACAATAACGTATTTTAAAAAAAGCAGTACATCGGAGTTCTAACCTTTTAATGAAGTATTTGCATATGTGCTTACGACGCACGTACGTGTGTATATATCTGATATGTACATATGTTCTTTCATCCTAATTCCCATTATAGTTCTATAGTTGCAAAAGTATGCATTTACTTTAAATTTTTTTTTCCTGAGCAATGATTTTATTTTTGTAATACAAAACTCTAAATTACTTAGTCATTTAACTCTTATCTAGCTAATCTCTAAGACCGTTCATAATAATTTTACATATCATGTCACAAGAATCGTCTCTGCTAACAATTCTGTAATTGTTAGTAATTTACTCATGTCTTCAAATGTTTAATAAAAACAAGTTTTTTTTTATTCTCAATGTAGTCGCGAAATCTACTGTATTTTGAGCGTCAATTTGGTGACAATTGAAATACAATCGTACCTATATACGTACCTAGAAAGTGATTGTTTTGGCCGGCATTAACTGATAGATACTGATTGACCTATGCTCTTATTCTATTTCTAATGTCAATTTGAGTGACGTTTAGTGAAAACTTGTAAATATTTGTCCGTTCAAATTTCAAGTTCTATTCAATTAGGTAGACTCGTACAATATTTTGAAAGGACAAATATTTACATACAGATTTTCGCTAAGCCCCACTCATTTAGGCCAGCTGATATCTGAGTCGAGGATGCATCTGAAAAACAACAAATATTTATTATATACTATGCATCATATTACTACTTTCATCAGGTAACACTCTTATCATTATTAAAACCGACATGACCTTCTCTATAGCTTTAATTAAGTGTTTGTGTAAGGCTAACTTAGTAAAAAAAAAAAATAACTCTTAACTATTAAAGCTTTAGACTTATTAATCCAAAATTATATAAAAGGTTGTTTAATTTTATTAGCTAATATTGTTGTATAGAATATGTGTCTTGTAAATTTTTTTTTGATTTTAAGGTGAGATTTTGCTTATTTTTATTAATAATTTTTTATGAACAACTATATAGAATTGACACAGGTCAGAGTCAATTTACAAATTGTTTACATAGATTATAAACAAAAATTTAATAATGTAAAATATAATTAGTAAAAATTTTGCAGTTTATTCATTTAGATAATCATTTAAATAGTTTTTTTATTAGTTTTTTTTAATGGTAAGTAAATATAATAATTATAAAAATCTTTTATATGTTAATAGTTTAAAAGATTACAGATACAACTGTAAGTATATAAGATTTAGTTTATAATATTAATTTAAATGTATTGTTAGAGTTTGATAGTTAATTATAGAACAGTTGGTTAGAAATATTTTTTTGTTATTTTTATTTTAAAAGATTAATGAAATATATTTTTCAAATTTTTATTTTATTTTATTATGTATAAAGATCATGCTTTGTGATAATTATTTATTAACATATATAATTGAAATATTTTGACTATTTTAGCCATTTAACAATGTTTAAAACAAACTTTTTAATGATTTATCTTATATATATTAAATTATATTTGTACTTAACCTACTACTCAGGATAATAATCCTGATGACTCTACTTCTTAAAAAGAAACAGTAGATGATCCCACACAAAACCAAGAAACTCCTTTTCAATAAATTCTTTTACAGAAAACATTAAAGCAACTGCTGCTTCTAAGATTACGATGTTTTCTACTATTAGTGGGCCATTCTTAGAAGAGAATAATAACAGTAAGTGGGCAGTAAAGCCTATTGTAGTGAAGGACCAGGAATATGATGACTAGACCCAACGTACAGGGCAGGTTATGGTATTCTCCACAGCTGTGCAAGCTGAGCTTAAAACAGTGAACGACTCTGTAGAAGACATTACAAATACTATCTCTATTTTCAATACTTCAACTCCTATTGAGATAGATAAATGCTACAATAAATTTCTAAAACAATATAACTTACCTCAAATACTAAAACCTGTTTCACTT